TTTCAAGTCTTTTGAACCATATCACTTTTGTTTCTGGTTCTGATATTGTCATATTTTTGCCTAAGAAATCATCCCGAGTTTACAGAGAACATTTTGTATGTGGAGCAGCAACAAAACAAAATCCTGATCCCTCGTTCAACCTCGTCTATGAATTTAAAAAGTCAACGCCAAAGCGAAAGTCTCCAACTGTTCACCAAGAAACACCTTCCACTGCAAAGAGACCAAGACGTGATGTTTCTGTAAAACCACAAGAACAAGAAAGTGCAGCTCAGTCTGTTTGTCTTCTGCTCTTCTACATTAACAAACGGGATTTTGTTTTGTCGTCGCTCCACATACAAAATGTTCTCTGTAAACTCAGGATGATTTAGACAGTAAATGATACTGTCCATCTCTGACACACCCACCACTGCAGAGGCTCATCACAGAACTTCTGCAGGAGGCAAGACTTATGGCTTAACTAATCATTAATAAATGCTCAAATTGGAGCTTAACTATGCATTTACACACAAATGGTCAGTTCATGTGTTACCGGCGCCAGCCCTTGGGGAAAGCTGGGCGGTAGCAAGTGGCACACAGTTAAGGTTAAACTGTGTGGCCTAAAGGTGTGGTGTTGCTGTGAATGGACGGAGAGGAGACACGTTAGTCTGGTCACATCTTGTTTAATTCTGAAAATCATTCAGTTATTCATTTCTTTCTCATTTCATTTCGATTGGCTCAATCTCTCCAAAATTATATAATTGACAAAACAATAAATTACATAAGTAAATAAACAAATACTAACAGACAATAAAATAATCCATAAAATGCAAATAAATACATATAGTTTGAAATAAGTCCTAAGCAGTTCACAGTAGCGATAACGTAACTGATGTTAGAAATGGGTAGAAATTAGAAATAGTACCAAAAATACATTGCTAATGTTGGCTAAACTCTCTGAAACTTTTTGAAAACCTTTACACAATGAACAAAAATGTGTCTGAACCAAGTCTGAGTCAACAAAACAACTCTTCAAATCGTACCTGTGAATGGACGGAGAGGAGACACGTGAGTCTGGTCACAGCTTGTTTAATTCTGAAGCTGCGCCTACGCCGTGTTCCCCTAGTCCCCACAGTAGCGCTAACGGCACCCTCTACTGGTCGGAGTATGTACTGCACCCAAAACAAAAGGCACGCTAGGAATCATTCAACAAAATAGAGGGGGTGTCTGTTTCCATGTAGAACTTAAATACAGCCTTTTTTCAACCTACTACACTCTCCCCTGCTTTAAAAGATGACTCCGGCATCTTACACTAAGTGTCTCAAGTCAGGTCACACACAGTCTTAAGAAGTCATAGGATAATCTGAATGGTCACTTACGTTTTTTTTTTTTTTCAAGGTCTAATATGTCCATACGGGAGTAGGGTAATAGTACAGGTCAGGTTGAGCTGGGTGATAGGGCATAGGGACCCAAACCAGCATCATATTTGCTTCGGGTCTCCATGCCTGATAAGATGGCTGTCCAAACTGATGGTAAGTGAACATTTCTTTTGGTTTAATGGTTCTGGTGAATCTGCGGACTCCAGTTTCCTCATGTGCATTAGACACATTATCGGACTGTTGTTCTGTTTCCACATTATCGATATTGTCCATTTCAGGTAATTCAACAGCTGGAATTGTGACTAGTGGCGCTGGCCTTGGTGCTGCTTCAAATTCGACAGCTGGGATTGACACAACGGGGTTCTGAACCTCAATTTGTGTGGGTGCACTTTGTTCAGGCACTTGGTGTAAGTCTGTAAAACATCCTCATAAAAACCATAACAATCATCCAGAAGATGGGAGTGGCAAAGAGGACAACCATAACTACAACAGCAACTGTGACTGGGTCGTGTCTGAGCACCGCTGCAGCCCATCCTGTCGCATCTGCAGAAACACACCATAAAAGTTCGTCAAAATAAAATTATAAATTCATTTTTATATCCTGTCCGTAGACTCCCCTCTCTCTGCTGCTGTCGGTTCATTTTGGTCTTAAAATGTTTGTATTAACATGCTTTACATCATACTGTTTTTTGTTTTTTTATTTCACTATTTTGTGCATGAATAAATTCCTTTTACTAATATGGACCTGGCTACAAATTTGCTCCTGGAACTGGAACTGCTGGCCACCATGAACTTCATTACCTGGTACCCAAAGAGTTGACCAAGTTTTGTTTTCACCCTGTGTGTGTGTGTGTGTCCACCCGCGATAATTCCGTCATTTATGGACCGAGTGTCACCAAATTTGGTACGTGGGTCAAGCCCCTGTGCCCAATGCCGCAAAAAAAACTTTGGTGAGGATAAGAGGTCATTTGAGGTCACACGGGTCAATTGAAAGGTCACACCGTTATAAAGGATTTAGGCAATTTCGCCAATTTCTGAACCATCTGCAGGCTAAAATATTCACCCAATCATCACACAAGTTGGCACACACACACATAACCGGGGCACACTGGATGTTACAGGTTGAAACCGGTCGAGGTAACCAAGGTCAGATATGTGTTTTTGGTCATAACTCCACGAAGGATCGAACATGAGCAACAGGAATGTCTCAAAATCTCAGAAAAATTATCTATTTATAATTCTATGTATTTGTATAGTCAAATATTAATATTTTTTCAGATAATCACTAATTCTAACAGTTCTTTTCTCTTTCTGTGTAGCCGTTAAAATTCTAATTGGAACAAAAATAATTTCCATTTCTTGGTTTTCTGGTGACACACAACACACTGATCTACAGTCACACAACTAACATATACACAACATTCTCATGTGTGACCAACATCACACTAATGTGCATGGGCCTGTACACATACACACATTACATTGTGGATATAACGATCATGTCATAAACTGTTTCTGTGCTGATGAACTGAACCACCGACGCCTCATGATCACTGTTGGACGAGTGACTTTGAAACTGTAAAGTGTTTTTTCTTTATGATTTATTTATGTGTTTCTGACATTTCAAAGTGATTTGTTACATCACAATATGACTGTGTTTAAAATATAAAACATTACACGAATATTACAGAACTTTAAACTTACTCTCACTATAATAAACTGTGAAGATGCTATATGGACTAAACCAGGACTAAACTAGGACTAAACCAGGTCTAAACCAGGACTAAACAGGACTAAACCAGGACTAAACTAGGACTAACCAGGAAAACAGACTAAACCAGGAAACCAGAACTAAACCAGGTAAACCAGGTCTAAACCAGGACTAAACCAGGACTAAACCAGGACTAAACCAGCGCTGAAACCAGGACTAAACCAGGACTAAACCAGGACTAAAACAGGTCTAAACCAGGTCTAAACCAGGACTAAACCAGGACTAAACCAGGTCTAAACCAGGACTAAACCAGGACTAAAACCAGGACTAAACCAGGACTAAACCAGGACTAAACCAGGACTAAACCAGGACTAAACCAGGTCTAAACCAGGACTAAAACAGGTCTAAACCAGGTCTAAACCAGGACTAAACCAGGACTAAACCAGGTCTAAACAAGGTCTAAACCAGGACTAAACCAGGACTAAACCAGGTCTAAACCAGGACTAAACCAGGACTAAACCAGGACTAAACCAGGTCTAAACCAGGACTAAACCAGGACTAAACTAGCGCTGAACCAGGACTAGACCAGGACTAAACCAGGTCTAAACCAGGACTCAAACAGGTCTAAACCAGGACTAAACCAGGACTAAACCAGGACCAGGACTAAACCAGGTCTAACTAGGACAAACAGGACAAAACAGCCTGAACAGGACTAAACCAGGATAAACTAGCGCTGAACCAGGACTAAAGACCAGGTAAACTAAACCAGGACTCAAACAGGTCTAAACCAGGACTAAACCAGGACTAAACCAGGACTAAACCAGGTCTAAACCAGGACTAAACCAGGACTAAACTAGCGCTGAACCAGGACTAAACCAGGACTAAACTAGCGCTGAACCAGGACTAAACCAGGACTAAACCAGACTAATCTTGGACTAGAACTTGGAAGCGCGTTGCAGACAGGGAGTTTGCAAAGCTCGATCGGGCGTCAGCTGCGTTTCGCCTCGTGGAGCGTGGAGTTTTGTGTCGGTCCTTTTCGCCTTTCGATGGTCTACACGGGCGCGTCTCCGGTGTTTCACCGCTGCTGATGCACCATGATTTTAGCGAATTTGTATGAAGAAAAACAAAAAACCCACCACTTCAATCCAGGTTAAAAAAGCAACGTGACGCGCGATACTCACATTTGTACAGTAAAATATTACAGTTTTTTCACTGTAACGTCACATTACTGCGTAACAGCAAAAAACAACACAGTACAGTAATTCGTTACTTTTATAACACGTTACTCCCAACACTGCTCATGGGGGACCAGGTTGCTATTTCTGATTGTGCTTGTTTGGAGCTGAATTACTTAATACAGTCTGTGGTCCTGTTACTTCTTGCCACGTGACTTCGTATTGGCTAATCACATTTACTTATTTTACCTCTTATCACCACTGATCTGCCCGTCTCCTTTAACACCTCTAGAACGATGCTTTTGTAAAAACTGTTCCTGTTCTGGGGTTTATTCACTCAGCCCTCAGATCGCCCACACATTTGCACAACCTGATACTATTTTTTTTTTTTAATTTGCAGTATACTTTAAGTTTGTGAAAATAATTGGCAGATATGTATATTTTTGGAGCATTAAACAACAAGGGAATTAGGTTTACTTTAGTAGATTTAGTTTTTGCTTCTTAATTTATCCATGACCATTACTGCAGCAATTGTGATCCAAATAATAAAAAAAAAAACATTATCATTAACGAAGTAATAGTTGTAACTTACTCTGCACACGTGCGGTCGGAGTCACACTTTTAGGAACCACCTTCAACTCAAAGAACTCTAGAATAAAAAACAGAACGCACCGTTACTATCAGTAGATGGATTACAGACATGTCAGAAGAACTTACCAGTAGAACTAAACCTCCAGCCTCTGTCTCGGTTGTAGTTGGTCACCATCTCACAGCGATACTTCCCCGAGTCGAGGGCTGTGAGGCGGGTGAGGAGGAGCTGCACCTGCCCCTGTTTCAGAGCTTCTCTGTGGAGCTCCACTCTGCCTCTGAACTGTGTGTCCTGAGCCTCTATGATCTCCACTCCACTTATCACGTCCAGTACTCTCTTCTCTGGTTCTGTCAGGAGTCTGCAGTTCATGTGGAGCTCAGACAGGTCCATGCTGCTGGGACTCGACCATAGTACGGTGAAGTTACTGCCTTCTTCAACATCATATAAGAGAAGCTCTATAGACATAAGACATAAAAAGGTAAAAATAGTCCATAATCTGACTTTCTTTCTCTGTGTGTGCGTGTGTATATACACAGACAACACATTGAAAATCACCCTAAAGACACTTTTTATATTACAGAAAAGACCTCGCAAATTGTGTACAATGTAAAATTTAAAGAACATACAAACTCATTGTTTTTAAAAAGCAAAAGTGATAGAACCTGATCTTGCCCCCAGTTTTAGCACTGTACTTCCCTGCTGGAGGCTGGAATGGTACAAGTACATATATACTTATATCAGTGTTGGGAGTAATGTGTTATAAAAGTAATGAATTACAGTAATGCGTTGTTTTTTGCTGAAACGCAGTAATGTTGCGTTACAGGGAAAAAAAACTGTAATATTTTACTGTACAAATGTGAGTATCACGCGTCATGATGGTTTTTTAACCTGGATTGAAGTGGTGGGTTTTTCGTTTTTCTTCATACAAATTTGCTAAAATCACAGCGATATCAGCGGGGAAACGCCGGAGACGCGCCCATGTAGACCGTCAGGTGACCTCAGGCGAACGGACCGACGCAGAACTCCACGATCCACGAGACAAAGAACAAATGACGCCTGATCGCGCCGTGCAGACACCCTGTCTGCAAGGGGCGTCCAAGTTCTAGTCCAAGATTAGTCCTGGTTTGGTCCTGGTTTAGACCTGTTTTAGACCTGGTTTAGACCTTAGTTTTGGTTTAGACCTGGTTCAGTCCTGGTTTAGTCCTGGTTTAGTCCTGGTTCAGTCCTGGTTTAGTCCATATACGGTGCTGTCAGGGAATTGACCCCAACCTCAAATATTAAAGAACACGCCAGGGACACAGTGGTTGGTTTTACTTGCACAAGGAGTAGGAGAGAGCTGCTGTCTCATCCTAACTGAAGCTCTCTTCTCTCCATCGGCCTTTTATTGTAGAGCATCACAATGATCATACAGTAGGTCACTTTGAATACAGCACCTATTGTTCACATGTTGGTCTCATGACTGACAAGCTTCCACTGACACAGCCCCATTATACACAGGTTTCACATTCCAGGTGGTAGAGCCTGTAGCAGTTCCCAGAGTTCTGTGTTAACCTCATGATGTTTACCATGACTATTTGTTTCTCCCGATACATTATCTTTAATGAGTCAGCTGGTGCATCAGCAAGATCACCTGATACAGCCTGAACACAATAAAACAAGTAAAACAAAAAGCCAATGTTGATAACTTATACTACATCATGATTACCTTTACATGAGAAATGCTTATAACATAAAAATTCTCTAACAGGTGCAAAAGTTCAGATTTTCACAGTTCTTTTGGTGAGAGTCTCTTAAATTGCTGTAATAGTCATGTAATGTTTTACATTTTAAATGCAGTAATATTGTAATGTAACGAATCACTTTGAAACGACAGAAACACGTCATAAATAAAACATTACAGTTTTAAAGTCACTCGCCCAACAGTGACTTGTATGTTTATCACGATATAAGTATATATGTGGTGATCACATCTGAACCAGTCTGTGACGCTGTGGCATTTAAAAACTCTGCCCGAGTGGATAAAGTCTAATCTTTACCTCATCACAGGCAGCACAGAGGAGTTTGGAGAAAAGTTTTATATGTAACAGTAAAACTGCTCCAGAACCTCACGGTGCAAGTCCACACCAGTAGAGGAGCCAGGAATATAGAATGTTTCTGATGTTTCGGCTTTGTGCACAGATATGACACGTGCTCCTCTGTCACAGCCTCGAGCTGACAGTGAATGTGCTGATCTCTGTCAGAGTCCAGCCGCGAGAATGTGAGGAACTCCACAAGGCAGCATTAGAACCACAGACAGAGTAAGAAAACACACTTTAGGACAGACATGTCAAACTCAGGCCCAGGGGCCAAATTTGGCCCATGATATAATTATATTTGGCCCACGAGATCAAATCAAATCTGTATCAGAGCTGCTCACCACACACAGATCGACTATAGAGACATGATTTATTTAAAATGTTGTGATTATTTTGAGGGTGATTGGCTTTTGATGTGCAGCACAACAACAAACAAAAACTCGCTCCAAAAAGTGGAGGGAATTCAGGTGGAAGTGTCTTACACGATTCTTTATTACTCCTCAAATTACTACCAGAGCACAAGAGTTAGACTCTGTTTGTTGGAGACAGTGTGGCCACTCGGACGCCAATCACTCTCATGTTTTTTGGACATGTACAAAATTAAAATCATTCTGGGATAATGTGTTTGAAAAATCAGATACGATTTTGACTTATGTTGTTCCCAAGGACCCAAAGATATTTTTGTCGGGCCCTCTGCCTGGAGAGGTGATTGAAAAAGCGGACAGAACCTTTTTAAGAGTCTGACTTTAGCATAAAAAAAAGCAATAACAAGAAGCTGGTTTAAAAAGAACCCACTGTCAGTGAACCAGCGGCTCAACATTGTAGAAGAAATATATTCCATGGAACGACTGAATTTTTTTCTACGTCTCAAAGGACATTTCTTCATTAAACACTGGACAAAATGGTTGAAATATAAACAAAGAGACTTGACTTCTACATCCTTGTAACACCGGAACAGTGCCCCAAGTTTTTGTTTTTGTATTTAAACTAGAAAAACTGAATAAATAAAAAGTAAAAAAAAAAGTTATTATTTTATATTCTGTTTGTTCTGGATTCAACATTTAAGCAAAACTATGATTAAACATTTATTTTAATCAGATCACAAAAGAAGAGAAAACATGCAGATGTTGTTGAAATGTTTGAATAAATATTTTGTTTGGCCCACGACTTAGTCCCAGTTTTTAATTTTGGCCTCTGTGAGTTTGAGTTTGACTCTCCAGGTTTAGGACGTCGCTGTAAACGGCGTCATGTGAACGAGCAGCTTTTGTACTGATCCACATCAAACCAAAACAATTCACTGAACGTGCCAGAACTCCACCCTCAGTCCACACCTGCCCCACTCCACCTGACGCTCAAACACGACACTCCGACGGTTTAGAACTCCACGCCTCACACTTGCACTCGAGCTGAGATCAGGGCAAGATCAGGCCCTTAAAGTTATTTGAATTATTAAAATATAAAACTGCTCTGATCATGTACAAATGACGGAATAACTTATTACCAAGCAACATTTGCAATTTAGTCAAAGAGGTTATGGACTAAGAGATTAATTAAGAAAAAAAAGGTAAAAGAACAGCAAATGAGTCTGGCTGTAAGTGGAGAACATTTATGCAATGGACTTGGATATAAGTCTAAATGTTGTAATTTGCAAATATTAATCTTTCTCAAAAAATGCACATAGGCAACTTTTTAGAGACGTTCCACCCAGAAAGCAGATATTTATGAATTGTTATGGAAAAGTGATTATTGAAACTAATTTTTTATTTTTCGCCTAATTTCTGTGTTTGTAAAGAGACACTATAACGTATTGTAACTGTAACTGTAACTGTAACTGAAGATCATGGAGATTAAATATTGTAAATTGTAGGGGTGGGACTAAAAGAACCTGTGCTTCCTCTTACTCCTTTTCTGAATGTTTTTTCTTTAAACAATTTTGTTCTTTTTTGTCTTCATTAATTGTACATGTCCTCAAAGTGCAGAGACTAAATCTGATTTCACAAATTAGACTTTTAGTTTGTGAAATTTGATGCACACACACACCCAGTGTCGGGGAGTAACAGATTACATGTACCGGAGTTATGTAATCAGAGTACAAATGATGAGTAACTGTATTCAGTTACAGTTACTGTTTCAGTGAGTGGGAATTGGATTACAGTTACTTGGTTGAAATAAATGAATTACACAGCGGGATTTTCCTGTCTAAAACCAGGTCTAAACCAGGTCTTAACCAGGTCTAAACCAGGTCTAAACCAGGATTTAACAGGACTAAATGCCCCGTGGACGTGTCTCCTCTTCTATCAATAATATTTTTAATTTGGTTCAGTAAAGTTTGGGCTTTTTATTTTCTTTTAGCAGATAAAACTTCTTATGTGAAGATTTCCTCGTCTTTGTTTCTCTACAGCAAATCAAGTAATCCAAAGTATTCAGATTACATTACTCACCTAAAGTAATTTAATGGATTCTATTACAAACTACATTTTGGAGTGTGTAATCTGTAATCTGTAGGGGAATATGTTTTAAAAGTAAACTTCCCAACACACACACACGCACGCGCACACACACACACACACACACGCACACACACACACACACACACAGTCTAAACTTGACTCTGTGGACTGACACGAGTGGTTCTGTTCAAATCACAGTTTGGAATCAGTCCTGCTGCTCTCAGGACGTTGGGTTTATTCTCATCACTGACAGAATAAGAGTAAAAGTAAAACCTTGATGACACTAAGTCTGTGACAGACGTACCAGAGCTGCAGCACAGTAACAAGTGAAGACAGAATTATTGTTGAACTTACCATAAAGTGACGTGAGATCGATCAACAGAAACATCATGAAACCCCAACATCCTGAAAAACAGACGGATGTCAGTGGAACGGCTCGATTAGTGTTAATGTGTTGTGTTAATGTGTTAGTGTTAATGTGTTATTGTGTTAATGTGTTATTGTGTTAGTGTTAGTGTTAGTGTTAGTGTGTTTGTGTTGTGTTAGTGTGTTAGTGTGTGTAGTGTTAGTAGTGTTAGTGTGTTAGTGTTAGTGTGTTTAGTGTGTTAGTGTGTTAGTGTTGTGTTAGTGTTAGTGTTAGTGTAGTGTGTTAGTGTGTGTGTAGTGTTATTGTGTGTTAGTGTTAGTGTGTTAGTGTTAGTGTTAGTGTGTGTTAGTGTTAGTGTGTAGTGTTAGTGTTAGTGTTAGTTGTGTTATGTGTGTTAGTGTGTTAGTGTGTTAGTTGTTAGTTAGTGTTAGTGTTAGTGTGTGTTAGTGTTAGTGTTTAGTGTGTTTAGTGTGTTAGTGTTGTGTTAGTGTTTAGTGTTTAGTGTTAGTGTGTTAGTGTTATTGTGTTGTTAGTGTGTAGTGTGTGTTATTGTGTTAGTGTTAGTGTTTAGTGTGTAGTGTTATTGTGTTTAGTGTTAGTAGTGTTAGTGTGTGTAGTGTTAGTGTTTAGTGTTAGTGTTTAGTGTTAGTGTGTTTAGTGTTTAGTGTTATGTTAGTGTTAGTGTTAGTGTTAGTGTTAGTGTTATTGTGTTAGTGTGTAGTGTTAGTGTAGTGTTAGTGTTATGTGTTAGTGTTAGTTTAGTGTTAGTGTTAGTGTTAGTGTTAGTGTTAGTGTTAGTTGTGTGTATAGTGTTAGTGTTAGTGTTAGTGTTAGTGTTAGTGTTATTGTGTTAGTTGTGTGTTAGTGTTAGTGTTAGTGTTGTGTTAGTGTTAGTGTTATTGTGTTAGTGTTATTGTGTTAGTGTTAGTGTTATTGTGTTAGTGTTATTGTGTTAGTGTGTTAGTGTTATTGTGTTAGTGTGTTAGTGTTAGTGTGTTAGTGTTAGTGTTAGTGTTATTGTGTTAGTGTGTTAGTGTTATTGTGTTAGTTTATTGTGTTAGTGTTAGTGTGTTAGTGTTATTGTGTTAGTGTTATTGTGTTTAGTGTTATTGTGTGTGTAGTGTTAGTTAGTGTTATGTGTGTGTTTAGTGTTAGTGTTAGTTGTGTTAGTGTGTGTTAGTGTTATGTGTTAGTGTTATTGTGTTAGTGTGTTAGTGTTATAGTGTTAGTGTGTTGTGTGTTAGTGTTATTGTGTTAGTGTTAGTGTGTTAGTGTTATTGTGTTAGTGTTATTGTGTTAGTGTTATTAGTGTTAGTGTGTTAGTGTTAGTGTGTTAGTGTTAGTGTTAGTGTGTGTGTTAGTGTTAGTGTTAGTGTTAGTGTGTTAGTGTTATTGTGTTAGTGTGTTAGTGTTATGTGTTAGTGTTTATAGTGTGTTATTGTGTTAGTGTTATTGTGTTAGTGTTATTGTGTTAGTGTGTGTGTTAGTGTGTTAGTGTGTTAGTGTTATGTGTTAGTGTTATTGTGTTAGTGTGTTAGTGTTATTGTGTTAGTGTTAGTGTTAGTGTTATTGTGTTAGTGTTATTGTGTTAGTGTGTTAGTGTTATTGTGTTAGTGTTTATTGTGTTAGTGTTATTGTGTTAGTTGTGTTAGTGTTGTGTTATTGTTAGTTGTTAGTGTTAAGTTGTTAAAGGCCCCCTTGTGGCCACAGACTTTGACACTCTCTCTCTCCTCCCTTGCCGTGCACCTCGCTTCACCTGGACTCTCGTCCAATCAGAAGACGCCTTGGACTCTTCAGCCTGCAGCTAGTTGTTAGTTGGTTGAAAGGTTCGATGCAAGCAGCAGTGTTTAGTGGCGCTGTTATTACCTGCTTGTTTTTTTGTATTTGCTGTCCTCTGATTGTGTGAAGTGTGCGTTCTATGCAAGTAAGTGTTCATTGTTTAATGTGTGTCAATGAGAGTGAGTTTTATATTATCTGTTCTTGTTACACTTAGTTGTTAGCTTGGGCCTACTTTTTCCTTTAGCCTTGTTCGCCATTATACGTATAACGTTGTGTTTTACCTTGCCGTGTTTAGTTGATTTCCATTTACCGATACCGAGTATTCGTATTCTGTCGCTAATTTCGTAGTTACGTAACCCACGCACGGCGTGGTTCTTAATTGGTTGTAGGCTCGAGGCAAGCCGTGTCACGCGCTCGCTAGGCAGGCCTCGAGCAGGTATTGTATTTACCTTCGTGGCCACCAGAGGGAGCCATGCCTGTTATCTATTTTTGCGACCACCAGATGGAGCTCTTGTATTTTCAGTAGTATTCGTTTTCTGCCTTTCTGGTGTAACTGACAGTGCCATATATATGTATATATAGTGATATATGTCAGTTTGACCATGTTTATTAAGGTTTTCAGTTGTTACATGTTATTTGTATAATTTTTATGTTCATATTGTATACATTTACATTATTCATTATTGTTTGTATTTCTTCTCTTTTCAGAACCACACACACACACACACACATACCCATACAGACAGCCTCCAATAAACATCCTCCAATCAAGTCAAGCGTCACAGTGATTCTTACCGATCACCTGCTGTGGGTTCCCACTTAGCTATCCAGTACATTTATTCAATTAGGAAGCACATCCTTCCTCACAGTTATTGTGTTATTGTGTTAGTGTTATTGTGTTAGTGTGTTAGTGTTATTGTGTTAGTGTGTTAGTGTTATTGTGTTAGTGTTATCGTGTTAGTGTGTTAGTGGGTTTATTCTCATCACTGACAGAATAAGAGTAAAAGTAAAACCTTGATGACACTAAGTCTGTGACAGACGTACCAGAGCTGCAGCACAGTAACAAGTGAAGACAGAATTATTGTTGAACTTACCATAAAGTGACGTGAGATCGATCAACAGAAACATCATGAAACCCCAACATCCTGAAAAACAGACGGATGTCAGTGGAACGGCTCGATTAGTGTTAATGTGTTAGTGTGTTAATGTTATTGTGTTAATGTGTGTTAATTGTGTTAATTTGTGTTATTGTGTTAGTTGTTTTATTGTGTTAGTGTTATTGTGTTAGTGTGTGTTATTGTGTTATTGTGTTAGTGTGTTAGTGTTTAGTGTGTGTTAGTGTAGTGTGTTAGTGTTAGTGTGTTAGTGTTATTGTGTTAGTGTTAGTGTGTTAGTGTTAGTGTGTTAGTGTTAGTGTGTTAGTGTGTTAGTGTTAGTGTAGTGTTAGTGTGTTAGTGTTTATGTTTAGTGTTAGTGTGTTAGTGTGTTGTTAGTGTTAGTGTTGTAGTGTTAGTGTTAGTGTTAGTGTGTTAGTGTGTTAGTGTTTAGTGTTTATTGTGTTAGTGTTATTGTGTTAGTGTGTTAGTGTGTTAGTGTGTTAGTGTGTTAGTGTTTAGTGTTTAGTGTTAGTGTAGTGTTTTGTGTTAGTGTGTGTTAGTGTTAGTGTGTGTAGTTGTGTAGTTGTGTGTGTTAGTGTTAGTGTGTTAGTGTTATTGTGTTAGTGTTAGTGTGTTAGTGTGTTAGTGTTAGTGTGTTAGTGTTATTGTGTTAGTGTTAGTGTGTGTAGTGTTAGTGTGTTAGTGTAGTGTGTTAGTGTGTGTAGTGTTTAGTGTTAGTGTTAGTGTGTTATTGTTGTGTTAGTGTTAGTTTAGTTGTGTTAGTGTTAGTTGTTAGTGTGTTAGTGTTAGTGTTATTGTGTGTGTGTTTAGTGTTAGTGTTGTGTGTGTAGTGTTAGTGTTAGTGTTAGTGTGTGTGTTGTGTGTGTTAGTGTAGTGTAGTGTGTTAGTGTTAGTGTGTTAGTGTTATGTGTTAGTGTTAGTGTTAGTGTTAGTGTTTATGTGTTAGTGTTAGTGTGTTAGTGTTTAGTGTTAGTGTTTAGTGTGTTAGTGTTAGTAGTTTGTTATTGTGTTAGTGTTAGTAGTGTTGTGTGTTAGTGTGTTAGTGTTAGTGTTAGTGTTAGTGTTAGTGTGTGTGTGTTAGTGTAGTGTTAGTGTTAGTGTTAGTGTTAGTGTGTTAGTGTGTTAGTGTTATTGTGTTAGTGTGTTAGTGTTAGTGTGTTAGTGTTAGTGTGTTAGTGTGTTAGTGTTAGTGTGTTAGTGTTGTGTGTTAGTGTGTTAGTAGTGTTATTGTGTTTAGTGTGTTAGTGTTAGTGTTTAGTGTTAGTGTTATTGTGTGTTAGTTTATGTGTTAGTGTTATTGTGTTAGTGTGTTAGTGTTAGTGTGTTATTGTGTTACTGTGTTAGTGTGTTAGTGTGTTAGTGTTATTGTGTTAGTGTTAGTGTGTTAGTGTGTTAGTGTTATTGTGTTAGTGTTAGTGTTAGTGTGTTATGTGTAGTGTGTGTGTTGTTAGTTAGTGTTAGTTGTGTTAGTGTTAGTGTTAGTTAGTGTGTGTTAGTGTGTGTTAGTGTTAGTTAGTGTTAGTGTTAGTGTTAGTTGTTAGTGTTAGTGTGTTAGTGTTAGTGTGTTAGTGTTAGTGTTATTGTGTTAGAGTGTTAGTGTTAGTGTGGAAACTGAAAAGAGGTCACCTCAGAGTTTTGTGCTTCAGATACTGAACACACTTTTCTATTGTCAGATTGTGTAAGTGACTGGACTTATCCTTAACCTGTATAAATCCACAGGATTTATACAGGTTAAGGGAAATTTGTGAAGGTACATTAATCTTGATAACTTTGGCTGTGGTTGTTCAATTACAAAGAAAATTCAGACACACGTGTGTTTTTACAGTATTGTGTTAGTTATGTACACACAGTGTGTTAGTTTCATCCTCATCTGACTACTTTTGGTGATGTGAGAAGTTTTGTAGAAATGTGTGTGTCATTTGACTTTTTGACCCCTACTGTAAAAATCAAGGTGAAAATAATTTTTGAGGCAATTTTTTTTTTCTTTTCTGGAGAACAATGAATTTTAGCAGGAGCAGCGAGTGAGATATTTACAGAATGTGCAGTTTATACAGTAAAGACAATATACAGTATATTGCAGTGTAGACTGTAGAGAATCTATACAAATAAAAACAGCAGTAAAAACAGGAGGGAATTAAAGATAATGTAGACGGGCAAGTGTTGACACTGGGCAGATATAAGCAGATAAATTGTAAATATTATAAACTATTGTGGGAATCATTCTCTGTGTTTTTAATGTTTCATTCATATTAATTCACCATGCAATATAGAAGTAGTGCAATGTTTGGGAAATGATGTATGGACTTTAAATGTATATGAGACAGAAAAGGGGTGAGTCTGAACCTTTCACCTGTACCATTCTATCATAATATGTATCGAACACAAAATTGCTGTGTATGTTTCTGCTGAAAATGCTAAATCAACAAGTTATGCAGTCAGATAATATAAAGGCACCTGTTTTCCTGTGTGTTTTCATCGGGGGACGTCGTCTAAGGAGACCTTGTCGAGGGACGATGTGAAGAAATGCCGTGTGGCTGAATCATGTAAATCAACTTGAATGGGAGAGATGTACCTGCCAATAAAGAGACACGTCTGTGAACTACTTTAACTCCCAGACTCTTCTTTGAGACTCTCTGTTCAGGTTGCCTCCAGGAGAAGCTGACACTATCAACAAATATACAGGACATATATAATGGACATTCATAAACTGCTTATTGTTTTAAGACACAAATATTAAAATGATTACAATAATTGTGACATTTTTATCTTAAATAGTTAAGAAATACAAATAGATGTGTAGTTAATTTATTGTACCCTAAAATGTTCCATTTTGGAGGCCAATATCCAAAACAGATCGAAAGGAAAAGACGGTTCCAAAAGTCCCAGCCTGAAAACCAGTTTGACAACATGTTTATTATACTTTTATGTTTGGTCACTTGTATTCTGCTTAAACAGGCTCCGACTAAAGGAGCACAGATCCACAGGACAATTTATCCATCCAATAATGTCCCACTGTAAAATCAACATTATTCACTTATTTACATGAGTTTGAGCAGAGGTAAATAAGTCATCCAGTAGGGGGCGCACTCCTCACCTCTGTGACACTGGGGACATTGAAAACGGGACAATTCCTACAAAAGTTTTAATTTACACAGCGCCAAAAACACTGGACTTGGTCAGTGTCAACAGAAGAAATATTATAACGAACATTTATTTCTAAAATATAAACACAAGACACGATCCAGGGAGGGAAAGTTATCGATCTGTGCCTCAGGTAGCTCATACCTGCAGTCTATGTCTACGATCACGCGGATCCAGTGTTTGTAAAAGGCGTTGGAGAAAGATAAGACTTACCAGAAGGAGAAGGTGGAAGATCTGGAAAAAAAAAAGGTGAAGAGAGAAACGTGGTCGCCTTTCTGAATCAGCTCCAGCGCTCCTCGGGAGAATTAATCCATTAGTTTTATTTTACTTCTTACTTTCACTTATGCAAGACATCACCCGAGCAGCAGCAGCCGTAGCGCCCCTCCTCCCTGCAGAAAGTTATGACGTAAATACGACACTAAGCTCCGCCCACGGGTTTTCCTAAATTGACCAACTTTTAGCCCCTCACTTCTATCGTGACCCTGTATGAAAAGTAAAAACTTCTGCTATTGCTTAATGGAATAATGTGGGTGTGTTGGTAGTGACTCTTCAAGTCTGAATAGTAAGAGTGAATAAAATATTTCAAGTAGTGTTTCTGGGAGTATTTGAATCAGAGGCCTGTATAGAAATATGTGAATCTGAAGGAACATTTATTGTGATAAATTTGGTTGTAGTTTGATTGTCATTTAAATTCACACAGATGTGTATTTTTACAAGTTTTTAGACATATGTGAGTTTCATCCTGATTCATGCATCATGAATTTCAGACTTCTGGTCATTGTGCAATTCACACTGGGAAGGATTTTTTGAAAAAGTGATCGTCAAACCTCCATGTTTGTTTTCCCAGTGGGATGAGTCTATTGTCAAAGTCGATCTTTTCAAGTCTTTTGAACCATTTCACTTTTGTTTCTGGTTCTGATATTGTCGTATTTTAGTTTTGGGATTCAGACATTGTAATTGTTGTGGTTGTTGGATCCTAACAGCGGAAAACGACTCGAGAAGTAGAGTTTGTGAACTCCATAAATGCAAAAGTGAATCATTGGAATTGAAAAATAGTGACAGGTGATCCACATACAAAATGTTTCTGTAAACTCAGGATGATTTCTTAGTCAGACAAATGTTCCTTTTTGGTTCTTCCTGTGGATCAATCCTGCCATCACCTTCACCTTTCACTATTTTTCAATTCCGTTGGGAAGAGAAACAGTTTGAACGGAGGTTTGAGTCACACACATCTGATTCA